TGCCACAAGCCAGCCTCACCCTTTCCTGCGTCCGCTTCTTTGTCACCTGGTGACGCTGCCTCTGCCATGGAGCCCTCCCTGACCAGTCCCAGATGTAACCTCTCCCTCCCGCCCCCGCTCTGTATTTCTTTTTTATACCAGTTGCCGACAGCACTGCAATTGTGTGGTTTTCTGGTTCTTGCTCTTGCGAGTTCTGAGCTCTGACCGAGGATGAGTCACTTTATTACTTTCCCGCTGGACAAATAGCTAGCGTCCAGCTCATGCTGCTGGACGATTCAGAGAGGAAGAGCGTCCTGTGGGGAGGCATCAGGCGAGGGCTGTGATCTGAAATCAGATGTGAATGTTCACCAGCGATGCTGCCTCTGGGGTCCCAAGACGCACCCAGGCTGTTATCACCAAAAGCGCCCTGTTTGGGGGCTCACACTCCAGCGGGCTCCTCTTGGGATGAGAGACCTCATTTCTCCCCGGGAAGTCGTGGGAGCAGAGCCTGAAGTTAGAGGACAGTTGCCCCCGTGCTCCAGCGGACAGCCTCAAGGCTGGTGCCCTCCCGGGTACTTGGTGGTACAGAGCTCAGGTTCTCACCCGTCGTCCTGATAATATGCACAGAGTGTTTTGCACTGAGGTCTTTAGTTTTAGGGGTTTTTCCCTTTGTAATGAATCTTATTTTAATGGAGTTACTGGGGATGGGACCGAGGACCTCGTGCACGCTGAGCACGCACTCTACCACTGAGCTGCACCCTCCCCCTAGTCTTGGTTTATAACAACAGCCTCAGAGACTTGTGGTGCACAGCTTCCCGTGCAGAAATTGCTGGTTTCAAATCACTTTGAAGACGTTTTCTGTGGAATCTGGGTCTGGCTGGTAGGGGTCCACGGGTGCCAACCATTGAAGCCCGGCCTCCTTTCCTCTGAATTCTGAGCCAGTGGAGAAACGTTGACAGGGGCCTGTGAGGGTTGGGGGTGCAGTCTGTACTGGAGGCAGGAACGGGCCCCCTCCTCGTTCAGTGTTTCTGTCGTGCTTTGCAGGCCTGGCGCTCGGCAGGCTCCGAGCGCAGAGACACCTTTATCAGATCAGGGCTGAGGCGAGGGGCAGCCAGGCTGTGGGGAGAGCGCCGTCACTCGGGCGCTGCCCTCTGCGCTCGTCCTGCACCTGTCCCGAGGTGCTGGCGCCGGCGCCCCGCTTCTGCCCACGTGGGCCCGGAGCGCGGGAGGGAATGCTCTCGTGGTTTAACTTCTGGGCAGCGGGCTCGCTGCAGTTTCCTGCTCCGTGTCAGGCCTGGGGACGGCACAGAGGTTTAAGATCTAACCTCGCCCGAGGGGCGGGCTTCAAGGGAGGAGGGCACGGAGGGCAAGGCTCTAGGCTCGCTGTTAGAAACTGCAACGGAGGCTGGGGCAGCCGTGGGCCAAGACACAGGAGGCCGCGGCGACCTTGTCCCGGGGGCTCCCTTCCCTGCGTTGGACCCAGTTCCCTCCTGCCACAGTGGGTGCTCGCCAAGGTCTCTCAAGTCTGGAAGGGACTTGAGCCTCCCTCAGGGTCGTAGAGGAGGGTGTACGGGGTGTGCTTTGAGTTCCTCATGGCTGGGCCCTGTGCCCACAGCCCCAGGGGCCCCGGCATGAGCCACGGGACTGGGGGCTTGGTGGTCGGTGGAAGTGCAGCCCAGGCGGGCCCAGGAGGCTTGGGCGCGGGGTGGGCCGCAGCCTCCCAGCCAACCCTTGGTCCTCTGCGTGGTTAGTTAATCTGCACTGATTTTATGAATCATGTCCCATCTGGAACCTCATTTGGCCCTCACAAGTTTTGCAGGCTTGGGGTAAGAGAGTGTTTTATTTCTCCCATTTAGTGATTGAGAAGTGGAGGGTCAGAGCCTCCGAGGCCACACACTTGGGAGGTGGCCACGGGACTGTTCTCTGTCTTGGTCCAGTAGCCTCTCCCCGGGGTTGCTGGCCTAGGTTTCACCTGCTTTTGGATGTTCCCGTGTGGTCTCATCCGTAGCGAGTCTTCTGGGTCATTGGTTACTAGCAAAAAGCAGGAATCTACAACAACGTGTAGTTTTCCATTTAAACAAGCTGCACAGAACGCAGTGTCTGTCTCCTCTCTCGCCCCAAACCCCAAAGAATAGAAGTAAAGGAATAAAAAGATTTCAACCCATGAAGCCAAAGAAGATGAGGGCAGGTGAGAGTTGAAAAAAGAAGTGGGGGCGTTCTCACTGGGAGCAGAGCACAGGTTGGATTTCTGTGGTTCCCCAGGGGAGGCACCCCTCTGTGCCTGGGGAGCGTGAGAGCTTGGGGGGCCTCTGCACCCTGTGTCCGGAAGTTCCTGCTTCCAGCCTGCACTGTGTGTGTTTTCTTTAATCTTTTTTAAAAAAATTAAAAATTTTTTTATTAAAATATAGTCAGTTTACAATGTTGTGTTAATTTCTGGTGTACAGCATAGTGATTCAGTCACACATATAAATATATTCCTTTTCATATTCTTTTCCACCATAGTTTATTACAAGGTATTGACTGTAGCTCCCTGTGCTGTACAGTAAGACCGTGTTGTTTATCTATTTTATGTATAGTAACGTGTATCTGTTAATCCCAAACTCTCTTTTATCCCTCCTCCCTTTCCCCTTTGGTCACCACAGGCTTGTTTTCTATGTCTATGAATCTGTTTCTGCTTTGTAAACAAGTTCATTTATCTCATTTTTTAAGATTCCACATACAAGTGATATGGTATTTTTCTATACAAATTATTTCTACAAAATAAAAACCTTTGTATCTTGAAATAGCTAGAGCTTTATAGGAAATTGCAAAGTTCTACACCGAGATCTCCTGGTCCCACCAGGGGTTCCACCGGCACCTACTCTTCCCCACCGTCCGTAACCCCTGGCGACCAACCACTCATCTGTTCTTCATTCCTGTAATTGTTTCATTTCAAGAATGTCATGTGAATGGAGTCATACACGATGTGATCTTTTGGGACCGGCTGTTTTGTTCGGCAGAAGGCCTTTGGTGTCCACTGGAGTCATGCGTGTTGGTGGTTCGCTGTTGCTGAGGAGAAAACTTGCCTTGATCACAATATTTGTAGTGAGGTTTCTGTAGACAGAAAAGAACTGGGTCTTATTATTTTTTTATCCACACTGCCGATCTCTGTGATTTTTTTTTTTGGATTGGTGTGTAGAGAATGTTACATTTAATGTAACTATTGATAGATTAGGACTGAAGTCTGCCATTGTATTTTTTTTGTTTACATTTCTCTGTTTTTCTTTTCCCACCTTTCTGTGAGTCACTTGAACTTTCCTTAGAGTTCCATTTTGATTTATCTATGCTGGGTTTTTTTCAATTTTTAAAAAATTTATGTGTTTTTACCGGAGGTACTGGGGATTGAACCCAGGACCTGTGCGTGCTCAGCGCGCTCTCCCCCCCACCGTCTGCACTGTTTTTGACCATGTCTCTTTGTGTAGCTTTTCTTAGTGGTTGTTCCAGGTATTTACATGTGTAACATCACATACCATGGTAACTGCGGACCTGCTGATGTATCCATAACTCACGCAACCTCCTGGTGTTGACATTTGCCAGTTGAGTGAAGTGTAGAAACATTACCACCTTTTACAACACTTAGCCCTTCCCCATTTATAATACACTCGTTTACAAAAGTTCCTCCATGTGCCCTGAGAACCATGGAAGACGGTGGTGCAGTTTTGTCTCCACCATCAAATGTAATTCAGAAAATTCGAGAGGAGGAAAATGTGTTGTGCTCGCCCGTATTTTCACCCTTTCCCTGTTCTTTCTTCCTTTTTAATCGTCCAGAATCCCTCCTTTTATCGTTTCCGTTCAGAGAACTTCCTCTAGCCATCCCTTTTGGGGTAGTTTTCTTGGTGACAAATTCCCTGGTTTTCTTTCATCTAAGACTCTTGGTGTCCCTGTCATGTGCAAATGCTATTTTTGCTGGATGTAAAATTCTGGGTTGGTGGTTTTTTTTCTTTTAGTTTTTGATAAATGTTGTGTCACTTCTTTCTGGCACTTGTTTCTGCTTCTGATGGGAAAGCATTTGTTTGAGTTCTTTTGCCCTGAAAAGTGAGATGTCATTTCCAGCTTTCAAGATCTTTTTTTTTTGCCTTCAGTTTTCAGAAGTTTGACTATTATGTGTCTTGGCATGCATCTCTTTGGGTTTATCCTGTTTGGTGTTCACTCAGATTCTTGAATCTGTGCATTTATGTCCTCTTTTTCAAACATGGGAAAATTTGGTTCCTTCTTTCCTTCCTTCCTTCCTTCCTTCTTTCTTTCATTTCACCAGCTAGGACCTCTGGTACAAGGCTGACTAGCAGTGGTGAGGGTGGACATCCTTGTCCTGTCCCCAGTCTTAGGGATAAGAGCATTCAACTTTTCATCATGAGCATGATGTTAGCAGTAGGATTTTCATAGATTTTTTTTTTTTATCAGGTTGAGGAGATTCTCTTCTTGTCCTAGTTTGTCGAGGGTTAGTATCATGAGTCAGTGTTGAATTTGGTAAAACATTTTATGCATCCAAACAAATGATCATAAGACTTTTCTCCTTTGTCCTGCTAATATGATAAATTATATTGATCGATTTTTAAATGTTAACCCAACTTTGCATTCCTGGAAAACTCCCACCTGATCATAATTTCTTTACATGCTGTTAAAACTTTGTCTTCTTTCTCTTTTCCCTCTGGGACTCTGATGACATGAGTGTCTAATCTTGTGTCCTGGAGCTGCAGGTCTGGGGCTATTTGCTTGTTTATTTAGGGCTGTTTTCTCTCTGTTGTTCACGTTGGGGGAATTTCTGTTGTTCTGTCTGCAAGTTCATAGATTCTTTCCTCTGCCACCTCCATTCTGCTGCTGAATTCATCCATCAGGGGCTTTTTAAAAATTTTGGCCAGTGCCTTTTTCAGTTCTGAAATTTCCACTTGGTATATCTTCTATTTCTTTGCTAAGACTTTACCATTTATGTTGCTTTAAAATCCTGTCGGGTAATTCCAACACGTGCCTTCTTGGTGCTGCTGCGTTGTCTTTTTCATTCCAGTTGCGATTTTCCGGGTTTCTATATGACTAGTGATTCTCTATTGAAATCTTGATATTTTAGGTGTTCAGTGATGAGACTCCGGATTGTGTGCTTTTGCTGGATCCCCATGATGTGTCTGTGGGAAAGGAGGGCACCCCCTCATTGTACTCTGTAGGGCTGGAAGTCCAACTGACATTTGGTGTGAGGGGCTTCTTCCTCCCACAGGGGGCTTTCCAGCTCCCCAGTGGGCCTCCCTGATCCCACCCTGGCAGGGAGGGACGGAGGTGCTTGGTAACTGCCCGCCATGTGGCCTCCACTGCTCTGTGGCTGGGGAGCCTTGTTACCACTGGTGGGGTACAAGTCCTGGCTCCGCTGGGCCTCCTCTGACACCTGCAGCAGGGAGGGGCAGGCACCTGGTCACCCCTGGTGACCACGGGGCCTTTGCAGGAAGGTGGTGTGTGAGTGCGGCTACACACGTGAGCAGCACTTAGAGGAGGCCACCAGGCCCCGTGCCTTCCAGGGCAAGGAGTGGGACCCGAAAAAGCACGTCCAGGAGATGCCCACAGACGCCTTTGGTGACATCGTCTTCAAGGGCCTGGGCCAGAAGGTGGGAAAGGTTGGTACCATCACTGTTGCTCTTACTGTGGCCAGAGTCCCCCATGAGAGACTGGAATGGGGCTGTGGGGCCTCAGGCTGGGGGCGCTCCGGAGACAGGGAGGAGGTGTAGAAAGGGCACCGTGGGTGCAGACTGGGCCGAGGGGGTGACGGGGACCAGAGGCTGGTCTCCTCTGGGTGGCTTATCTCTCAGTCCGTGTCCCTGATGGGAGGGGAAGGGGCCCCAGGTGTGTGAGCAAGCTGGGTCCTGCTTGGGTGCGGCCATTTTTCCTCAGTGAGTCCAGACCCAGGTGTGAGGTGTCCCCTCGCCTGGTTGGGGGTCTCAGGCACGGCTGGTGCAGGATGTTTGGGCTCTGGGTCCAGGAGGGCCACCCGCTGACACTCTGTGACCTCTGACCTCCCCGCAGTATGTCCGCATCTCCCAGGACACACCCTCCAGTGTGATTTACCACCTCATGACCCAGCACTGGGGCCTGGACGACCCCAACCTCCTCATCTCAGTGACAGGCGGGGCCAAGGACTTCAACATGAAACCCAGGCTGAAGAGCGTCTTCCGAAGAGGCCTGGTCAAGGTGGCCCAGACCACAGGTAGCACCCGGGGGGAGGACCCGGGGCTCAGACCCCGGCTGGTGCTCAGGCTAGGAGTCATGGGCGGTCTGAGCAGCTGGTGCCAGGCAAGGGGGTCCGTGCGAGGCAGTCAGGGCGTTGGGACTGGCTAGCCCTTGGGGGTCACTGAGGCCAGGCCGGGGCTGGGTGGGGAGCATCTGGTCAGACTCTCCAAGGCCGTCTGCCCGCCTCCTGCTGCCGTGCCCAGCTTGCTCACAGCAGACAAGGCTCTGGTTGGCTCCCCGCTAGTGATGCTTTGAAACAGAAGCCTTCAGAGAAAGTTTGAGACGTCGTGTTCCCAAGACTGGGACAGAGAGGGGGCAGCAGGAAGGTGGGGAGAGAAGACAGGCCTGCAGTCAGGAGACAGGGGTCCCTGTCGCCCCGCCTCCCAGAGCACGTGGGAACTCTCTGCTCCCGGCTGTCACAGGAAGACGTGATGGTGGTGGGGCTTCCCCAAAGCCCTGGTTTTGAGGCTTAGCCCTGACGACGAGTTTGAAAGCCCTCGGGCCGGGGCTCTGCAGACACAGGCAGGGAGCGCCAGAGGCACGCAGGGCGCTAGGAGTCGGGCGTGGGCGGCACCGGGTGCACACCAGGACCCTCAAGTCCCCTGCTCCTCCCCAGGGGCCTGGATCATCACCGGGGGGTCCCACACGGGCGTCATGAAGCAGGTGGGCGAGGCTGTGCGGGACTTCAGCCTGAGCAGCAGCTACAACGAAGGAGAAGTCGTCACCATTGGAATCGCCACGTGGGGCACCGTGCACAAGCGGGACAGCCTCGTCCACCCCACGGTGAGCAGCCTGCTTCCAGGGTGCACGGGCTCCAGGGACAGTGAGGAGGGTGTGTGGGGTCTTGGTGGGTGCCCAGTGGACAGACCGCCACCTGGGCAGCAGGGCAGATGCAGTCTGGGTGGACAAGGCTGGACAGGGATGCAGGAGACGAGGGCTCAAGTCCTCCAGGCCCCAGACCGGGGACCCCAGGCCCTGGGGACCCCAGACGGGCAGCTGGCTTGCCTGGACTTGGTTTCCTCCCCTGAGATCACAGGGCCACCACTGGGCAGGGGCTCTTCCTGACGCCTCTCTGGTGCGAAACAAACTTTGCGGAAAGAAGTAGCTTGGCCAAGGTTTCAGAGCCAGTGGCATCTGAGTCGTCAGGTCCCAGGCCTGACCCTTTGGCCCAGGGGTTGACAACACTCTGACGTCCCTGCTGAGAGCTCCCCTTCTGAGCTTGAGGACAGAGCCCTCTTGCCTCCGTTTCCCTGGTGCATCCCTGAGAAGCAACGGCTTAAATATGGGGACCTGAGTTGGAAAAGATAATTTGATTCCCACGATAAGATTTTACGGAGGACATAGATTTGGCATAATGAGCACTTGTCCACTTAATTCATGCAGTCAGGAAAGTTCAGGGAAAACACTGGCTCCAAAAGACACGTCTCTGCGACTGGCCGAGGAGGTGGTGTGACAGCGGCCCCCGGAGGGCGGCTCCTGAGCGGAGTCCTCTCCCTTCCTGGCTGGTGGCAGCGAGCGCTCGTTTCCTGGGGAGAGCTGGTCTGGGATGGCGATTCTTTTTGTCGTCACAAACGCTCGTCCTCTGACCAGCCTGCCCTCGGGCCTTGTCGTCCTTTGGTGTTAGTGTCACAGACGTGCTCAGTGCACGGGACCAGTTCTGTCTGGAACGCTCCTGATACGGAGTGGAAATCTGAGGCCGAGAGAGACTGAGTGACTGCCAGCATCACTCTTGACCTTTCTCCCCATTATGAGTCCAGAGGATGCTGCGTGGTACCACCCTGCCTTCCCTGTGGGCCCAGGGGCTGTGTGTGCTGGTCCAGCCGCCGTCCCTCCTGCGCCCTGGATCTGTGTCTGGCAGCTGCTGGAACAGATAACCACAGACCTGGTGGCTTGAAGCAACAGAAATGTACTTACATCTCACATTTCTGGACGCCAGAACTCCGAGACCAGTACCACTCGGCCAAAATCAAGATGCTGGCAGGGCCGGGTTTCCTCCAGAGGCTGGAGGGGGGAAGCTGCCCCCTGCCTCCTCCAGCTTCTGGGGGCGGCCGCTTTCCCTGACGTGTGGCTGTGTCCCTCCAGTGTCTGCCTCCGTGGTCACGTGGCCTCCTCCTCTTCCTCCACCTCCTCGTGTGAAAACACTCGTCAGGGCATTTAGGGCCCACCTGGACAGTCCAGGTCAATCTTTCCATGCTGAGATCCTTAATCACATCAGCAGGGACCCCTTCTCAGTTAAGGGAGCACCCCCAGTTTCCAGGGATTAGGCCCTGGTGTCACGGGGGTCGTTCATCCAGCCCACCGGAGCGCCAATCCTAGCGTGAAAGATGTGGAACTTTCCGCCTGCCTGGGCCCACCTCCTCTCTGGCCGTCCCCAGGGCAGTTTCCCTGCTGAGTACATCATGGATGAGGAAGGCCAGGGGCACCTGACCTGCCTGGACAGGAACCACTCCCACTTCATCCTTGTGGACAATGGGACCCACGGCCGCTACGGGGTCGAGATTCCCCTGAGGGCGAAGCTGGAGAAGTTCATATCGGAGCAGACCAAGGAAAGAGGGGGTGAGCGGGGTGCTCGGCGGAGAGGAGCCGCTGGGCGGGGTGTCTGGGCTGGCTGGCTGGGAGCAGGGCGTTCCGCCCGGGGCCCTTGGGGGCGGTCAGAACGCACCTGGAGGTCTTTACTTGTTCAGAGTTGGGGTGCAGAGGTCATCTTCTCTCGCCCCTTTGAACCAGGAAGGAGAATCCGGGCAGGCCCGTGGCCTTTCTGCTGGCTCAGGTCGCAGCACTCCCTACAGTCACTTTGCACCACCGGCACGGTCTTGGTTCAGAATCAGAACGTGCAGGAGTCAAAACTTGGCCTTGACATCTTGCCCCTGGTGGGCGGGAAGGGATGGGTTATGGGCGTCGGGAGGTCAGACGCACAAGATTTTGCCCATGATTTGCGGGTTGTCCGGGCACCTTTGAGCCGAGGGTTTCAAGCTTCATCACACATCAGAGTCCCCAGAGTGCGGGCCCACCCGCAGGGTCTCTGACTCACAGGTCTGGGTGGGCGAGGACTTACATTCCCAAGTTCCCAGGTGACGCTGACGCTGCTGGCCTGGGGACCACACCATGAGAACCTGCTTTGACTGAGAGAAGCTGGGTGGGAGCGTTCGGGGTGTGCGAGTGTGTGGGGACGGTGCGGCCCTGTGGCACTTGGACAGAAAGTTTGCTTCCCAGGGAAAGGTGTTTCCTGGCTGCTGGGCTGGATGGAAGGCCCGGTGTGGGGCTGGTGTGGAGAACGGGGTTCCGACGCCATGCTCCCGCATCACACAAGGTGCCCACCGGCTTGACAGGTCCCCAGCCAGGCCCACAGTAGAGGCTCAAAAGGGCTGCAGAGAAAAGCTGGCTGGTCGCTGTGGACTGCAGGGCAGAGAAGACCGGCTGGGGACCTGGGGGTCGCTGGTGTTCCACAGCCCCCTCTCCACCCCAGAAAGGGGCGGGAGTGCGTGCGTGCGTGTGCTGGAGCTGGAGGTGGGGAGAGGGCCAAGTGGACGGTCCCTGACCTGGGCTGCCGCTTGGTCCTAGGTGTGACCATCAGGATCCCTCTCGTCTGCGTGGTGCTGGAGGGCGGGCCCGGCACGCTGCACGTGAGTCCCGGCCTGGAGGGCGGGGCCTCTTGGGGTCACGTCCTGCTGCACGTGGGATGACAGCCTCCCAGTGAGGTGGTCAGCGAGGGAGGGCAGGGGCTTGCCCACCAGTAGGTATGAAACAGGAGGTGTGCCGTGTGGCGGGCCTCTCCGGTGGGTGGGACGGGAGCCCCTTGAGTGACCCTGCCATGGGACGGGTGCGCTGGCTTCAGCCCTGGTGCCTGACTGGCACAGAAGAAGTGGGGGCTACTGAGGGGACTATGGCAAGGATGGACCACATGTCCCCTGCTTCCAGGACCCCAGGGCTGCCTGTGGGGGTTTCTGCTGCTCTGCACCCAAAGTCCAGCCCTCGGGCCCCACCCAGCCCCGTGGGGCCAACAGCTGCACGTAAAGCAGGTTCCTCGGTGGTTTTCACGCGCTGGCGCGGACCTGTGTTCAGAAAGCCTCCATGGCATGGTTCGCTTCCCTCGTGGAACTTGGGCCAGTTTGCCTCCCGCTGCAGGAACGCATGCCGACATTACAGCCTGCAGACGTGGGGCAAGAGCTTGGACGTCTTAAGTAGGGGATCCTGGAAAGTGTCCGTTTATGCTTAGTAATCGCAGGCGGTCAGCACAGGACCTGGGGTCCCCGGGCGGGGGTTGAGTCTGGTCCCCCGGGCTGTTTTTGCGCAGACGGCGTCCAGATTGCTTCCTCACGTCCCGAGCAGGGCGTCCTTCCTGCTGGGGTTGGGGCCCCTCCTCGCGTTGCTCTCACCCTGGGTCTCCCTCAGTGTCCTGGTCTCACCCTGGGCCTTAACGGGGGAGCAGAGCTCCGGCCCCGGCAGCACGCCCTCTTTTCAGAGACGGCTCTCGTGCCCACAGACCAGGGGGTGGCAGCGTCCTAACCCTTGGTGACGGTGGCGGTGAGCGATAGGCCGGAAGGAGGGGGGTGTCGGTGTGCCCCCCACGGCACAGCAGGCTCGGCTCCTTTTCCCGCCGAGCAGCAGAGTGCTAGCAAGTGAGCGTCCTCCGTCGGCGTCACGACAGCCAGACGCCAGCGCCGCTGGAGAGCACTCCGTTTCAGAAGCGCCATTGCGGGCGAGGCGTCAGGCCCCGGCTCACGGCCGTCCCTGTATTGCAGACCATCTACAACGCCATCACCAACGGCACCCCCTGCGTGATCATGGCGGGCTCGGGCCGCGTGGCTGACGTCATTGCCCAGGTAGCCGGCCTGCCCATCTCTGAGATCACTGTCTCCCTGATTCAGCAGAAGCTGGGCATGTTCTTCCAGGAGATGTTTGAGACCTTCACTGAAAGCCGGATTGTGGAGTGGACCAAAAAGGTGAGGCAGACGGGCATGCGGGCACCGGGCGTGAACCTGCTGCTGACTAGTTAGCCTGGCAGGCAGGACCAGGGCACGCGGAACCCAGAAACGGAGGCCCCGGGGGCCTGGAGCAGGCACGGAGTGGTCGGCAGAGGGTGGGAGCTTTGAGCCGGGCCGTCAGAGGGCCCAGAGCAGGCGGGAAGCTGTCTGCTGAGACTGCACGCTGTCCTGTGAGGGAGGACTTGCTGAACCTCTGGGCTGCGGGACTCCGGGCCCGGGCTGGGCCTGCAGGATCGAGAGACATCGTAGGAATGGGAGCCCATTTCATGGGACGGTCAGGAGGCCGGTGTGAGGCCTGGGGGTGGCGGAGGGGCGGGGAGCCGAGATTTGGGCAGCAGGGGTGCTGCCAGGTGACGGCTGTGGGTGGCAGGGTCTGGCCCAGGCCCCGGGCCTGGTGACTTCAAGGCCACCCGGGCAGATTAACGTAGGCCTTCTGGGGTCAGCGAGGCAGGGAGGCCCGTAGACGTGTCAGGTGAGGCCCCGGAACCGGGTGGTGATTTGGGGGGTGGGCTCCTTCAGAGAGGTGTCGGGGTGGGCTGGGCCTGGGGCAGCATTCCAGGGGACTCCCCCATCTCCATGGGGTTTGAGAGACTCGAGACCTGGGAGGAGTTAGTTGCACCCAAAGGGAGGGTCCTTCCCGGCCCGAGGAATCACGGAGTCCGGGGCCGTGACCCTGCGGCTGGCGAGTCTCAGCACAGACCTCCGGAGGGGGTGGGGGCAGCCTTGCTTCAAGCGCCCGCCTGTCCTCTCCCTGTTCAGGGACAATCTTAGATCTGTGGAGAAGTCACACAGGCAGCAGCAGGCTTCTGTCCGCCCTTCACCAGCTTTCCTGGCGCCAGCGTCCTGACGAGCCCAGTGCATTTGTCAGAGCTGAGAGGTGAGCTCTGGCTCACGGCTGCGGCTCCACTCGGATCGCTCAGTTGCCACGTTGACCCGCCGATGGCCCTTTTCTGTCCCGGGATCTGAACCATTAGCCTGTCTTCTTTATTGTCTTGTTTTTCCTTCTTCTCCTTTTTTGTTTTAAGTGTGACACTTCCGAGCTAGCACAGTGGATTCCAGAGATGTTTCCGTGGCATCATTCTGGGCACGGGGTGGGGTCACCTGGGGGCTCTGGGCTTGTCCCCTCAACTGCAGAGTCCCACCCCGAGAGCCCTGGTTTGGATCCTTCCCCTGGCCTGGGGAGGTCACAGCTGAGATGGCCCAGGACCATAGCTGCCTTGCGTCTCAGTCGTCTGGCTTCAGAGCGCACTGGTGCTTCGTTCTCTCATACCTGCAGTGGGGATAAAATTGTTTACAGATGGGTGAGGACTTTGCAAGGACCCCTTGCAGACGGGCTCCTCCAGTGGACCTCACAGGGAGTTAGAATTTCTTTCTCATGTACTTGGAGGCTATTTGCCTCCGTTGGGAGACCTCAGGCATTTGGAATGGGCCTCAGAGTGGCCGTCTCCCTGGTCCAGATTTTGAAGGCCCCAGTGAATTCTGCAGAGGGACCCCAGCCCCGGCCATGACCCCAGCCTGCAAGGAGGGTAGGTGTGAAGGAGAGCGGCTGGGTCAGCGCCCAGCGGCCCACGAAGCCCTTGGCCAGCGCGAGCGAGCTGCCCGAGAGCCCCCGTGCCTCCCGCACCTGTGGGCGTGCTGACCGGCTGTCTCAGCTGCGCTCTGAGCCCCAGGAACTGGGGTTGCCCGTCCTGAGGCCACTTGACCTGTTTCCTGTCAGGATTCTTTGCTGGGGTGGGGGCAGTCGGGGCCTCTCGGACCCTCGGTCTCCCCATCAGTACACTGGGGCTGTGCCTTTCACGCGGCTCTGCGGACGCCAAGCCAGGTTGTAAAAACTCATGGAAGTTCACCCTGAAGTGCCTGATGTGTGCTCTTCAGGGCAAGTCTGTGGAGCAGCTTAGCTCCAACTGTGTCCTATTTTGGGCCATGTGAGCCATCTGTGCCCACCAGACAGAGACCGCAGGGACGCACCGCAGGTGGCCTGTGGTGGGAGGACGGTCCCTCAGGAGCTGTGGGTGCGGGAAGGGCTGCTGAGGGTTGGGGCCCTGATGGGGCTGAGGGCTGGGCCGCGGGCCCACTCCCATGGAAACAGGGCAGTTTTCCTGGGCAGCACCGGGACCTGCTCTTGTCTGTCTGACTGTGGCCTCAGAGTGACGTCCTTAGAAGCTGACGTTCTGTGAGATTGTTTTTGCCTTAGAAGCTGACGTTCTGTGAGATTGTTTTTGCCGTGGCGTCAGCTCTGCTCCCAGCAGGCCCAGCGGGTGGGGATTGGCCGGCAGGCTGGGGCCTTTCCTCAGTGAGCTTGTAAATTATTCAGGCAGTTCTCAGAACTGAGTCTAACCTGCTGAAGCTTAAAGGGGCCAGTGTTTTCAATCCGTTGCTGAGTCGAGGCCTGAAAGTGGAGTTTCGTACACACCTGTCTCCAGCAGGGGCTGCACTCAGCGGGGGTTCTCGTTCGGGGGGGAGGGGACCCCACAGCCACGATCAGTGTTTCGCTCCACAAGCCTCAGAGCTGGTCTGCCCTGTGGCAGGTCTGGGGGTGAATAGGAGGGCCTGTTCCCTCGGGGGCTGCCCTTGGCGGACGGGGACATCAGCTGGGAGTCTCCGTGCAGGCCCGCCGCCGGCACCACGTAGGAGGAACTGCTCCGGTGTCCTGCTTTCTTGTCTGCAGAACAGGGATCATTACTGCTTAGACTCAGAGGATGGAGCCCCATCACCGCTGGAAGTGCTCAGGGTTGGGTCAGCACGGACCACGCAGCACTCCGCGATAGCTGCCCTGTCCTGCAAATCAAGAGCTGAGCTAAACCCAGGAGAGACTTTGGCTGGAGGACAGGGTGGCACTGGGGAGGGGCACCAGGGGGCATTGGAGTTGATGTGGAAGCTGGCCCCCGAGGGAGAGGGGAGGCTGGGGTCTTAGAGGCAGAGGCAGGGTGTGCGAGGGGCCCTCTAGGTGGGAGAGGTCTGTACAGAGGTGTGAGCTATGCGGCCAGGCTAGGAGAGGAGGCGGGAGGGCAGGCGAGGCTGGGTGGGCTGGCCTGGGGAGCTTGGCAGATCTCTGGGCCTTGGGAGGTGGGGAGCTAGGGGAAGGGCCACCCTCACCTCAGGGTGAGGGGGTCGAGGGGGCAGCGACTGGTAGCAGGCATGGCAGCTAAGAGATGGCAGGTAGATAGGCAGGTGATAGGTGATGGTGGATGGACGGATGGAAAGGAGGGGTGGGTAGCTAGGTGCGTAGGTAGGTAGGTAGGTAAATAGGTAGGCAGGTAGAGTGAATAACTAAACAGCTAGATAAATACCTAGGTACATAGATGGGGTAGGTAGGTGGATAGGTGGGTGGGGTGATCAGGTAATACATCCGTAGATACACACATACGTACACACACAGACTGCTGGGTGGGTAGGTAGGTGGGTGATTGGATGGACAGGGGGATGGAAGGATGGGTGGGTGGGCAAACAGATAAGTAGGCAGGGAGGCAGGTGGGGTGAGGCGGGACACAGAGGACCAGGGAGTTAAGCAGTGCTGGGTGCTCTGCACACACCACCTGATCAGAGAGGTGAAGGTTCCTGACACTTGGGCTGTGTTTTCCACCCGACAGGCCGTTCAGAAACATCAAGCGTGTGGTCCTCATGTGGCATGGGGAGGCGAGGTGGTGGCCCTGGCCACACGGGCAGGCAGGCAGGACTCCTGCTGGGGCTCTGGCCCCATGTCTGGGGCCTCAGTTCTCTGGGCACCCTCTGAGGAGGCAGGAGGCCCACGTGCTGCCGTGTCCCTCACTCGGGGCACATCTGTTGCAGATCCAAGACATCGTCCGGAAGCGGCAATTGCTGACCATCTTCCGGGAAGGCAAGGACGGCCAGCAGGACGTGGACGTGGCCATCCTGCAGGCGTTGCTGAAAGGTGAGGGTCAGGTGAAGGGGGACAAGGGGAGAGCTGAGGCCTGGTCTAGAGGAGCTGAACCCCCACCTGTGGGCAGATGCACCGGTCAGAGGGCAGCTGGCGGTGGACCACGCTGGGCTCCCCTCGCAGCCCCACTGGGCAGGTGGGTGTCCATTGCCACAGTTGGGGTACAGACTCCTTTTTCAACTTACCTTTTTAACTGAAATCTGAGCGTAGCCCATGCTGACTTACACCTTCGTGGTCTCATAGTTTCTGATTAAATTTTAGGGTAGAAAGAAAGAACCTTGAAATCCACTCCTGTCCCCCATGTTTTGTCTAGTGTTTAAACTCTTCTGCCTCCAGCGCAGGGCAGGGGCCAAGTGCAGCTCATCCTCGTGGACAGGAGAGCTCCTGGTCGGCTTCCGCCCCTAGTCTGCCCTCTGCCCTCTGCGCTCTGCCCCTGGCCCGTCCTCCCTGGTGGGCGCGGGACGAGACCTCGGGGTTGTCTGGGTTTGCGCCTCCCTGGGCTTGTTGGCCATCGGTGTAGACTCTCGGTGACACGTCTGCAGATCTTCCGTCCGTGTGTCTTCGGTTGTTCGTCTTCTTGTGTTTGAGCTGTAAGCGCTCTTGTCTTGTTCTCACACGAAGCCTGTACCGGGTGTGCGTGCTGAGGACATTTTCTCCTGGTGCGTGGTCTGCTTTTGCACGTCCTTCAAGGTGCCCTTGAAGAGCAGGCAGCTGAAACTTTAATGCATTTTAATGTACCAGTTTTTTCCTTTACGGTTCCTGTTCGCTGCATCCCAGGAAATCTTTGCCTTCCCCGCGGCTGCACGTGTATTTCTGTTTCGTTGTGGAAGCTCTGTGGGCACAGCTTTTGTGTTTAGGGCTGTGATTCACTTCAGATTAATTTTTGTGTGTGGTGTGAGGTCAGTGTCAAAGTTCTGTTTTCTTCCTCCCCAAGTAACAACCCGTGTGTTAAAATGTTACTCCGGAAAGAGCAGAAACTAGTTGGACAAAATACTTGCACTGAGAACTGGGTGAGGTGGTGGTTCTACAATCAAGGCAGTAAAGGAAATGTGACGGCTTTTGGAGTCTAACTTTTGACGTCAGTGTGAAGATGCCTGCCTTTCAGAGACCCCGTCTGCTTTAAACTTAGGATGGAGGGGCTTGACCGGAGGGTGGGGGTGGGGCGCGGGTTTGAGGGGTGTGGGGGTGATGGTGGAAAACCAGATTCTCTGACTCCACCACCGAGAGGAACATGCTTTCATACAGGTGTGTGTGTCGGGTGGGGATGGGGGGGGTTTGTGACTGAGCACCGTATCTATTCAATGAAAATGATAGAGACTGGGGTTGGTGACACACCCCTCCCCCTGTGACTTTGTTAGATGGCAGGGGTGCTGACAGGGAGTGGCTTTGAGACCCAGATCGTAGTCCCCAATGCATGTGCTTTGCCTGCAGCCTCTCGGAGCCATGACTACTTTGGCCACGAGAACTGGGACCACCAGCTGAAGTTAGCGGTGGCGTGGAACCGTGTGGACATCGCCCGGAGCGAGATCTTCACCGATGAGTGGCAGTGGAAGGTAGGAATGCTCAGGGCTGACCTGGGCAGGGGGAGACTTGCTGGGCCTCGGAAGCTGGAGGGTGGCCCTTCCCTTGCTGAAGGCAATCGGCAAGTCTCATCCTCCAAAATGGGAGGCAGCGGTACCCCTGTCTCCAGGGGCACAGAGACCGGGATGCCGCGGGGCAATGGCCACTCGCACAGCCCCCACGGCCCCCAACGTATCCCTCCCAGCCCTCAGAGCTGCACCCCATGATGACAGCCGCCCTCATCGCCAACAAGCCCGAGTTTGTGAGGCTCTTCCTGGAGAACGGGGTGCAGCTGAAGGAGTTCGTCACGTGGGACACCCTGCTCTACCTGTACCAGAACCTGGAGCCCTCCTGCCTGTTCCACTACAAGCTGCAGAAGGTGCTGGCCGAGGAGCCCGCCGCGCCCCGCCTGCAGCTGCACCACGTAGCCCAGGTGCTGCGGGAGCTGCTGGGGGACTTCACGCAGCCGCTGTACCCCCGGCCCCGCTCCAGCGACCGGCCGCGGCTCTCGCTGCCTGTGCCCAACATCAGACTGAACGTGAGTGCAGGCGGCGGGGCTCCAGGCGCCACCGCGTCCTCCCAGCTGTAAAAAGTTTGCTTTTTATTAGGGAGGACATAGCTCAGGGGAAGAGCACGTGCCTGGCGTGCGTGACAAGGTCCTGGGTTCAACCCTCGGTACCTCCATCAAAAAAAGTAAATAAATTAGCCTAATTACGAGGCCCCCAAAACCAGAAAACCAACAAAAAAATTAGCTTTTATTTTTATGAGGGAAGTCAGCTCGGGCTGCCACAAGATGCCACAGACGGGCAGCTTCCACAACAGGCGCCTTTGCTCTCGCTGCTCTGGAGGCTGCAGGTCAAGGTCCAGGCGCCGGCAGGGTGGGCTTCTGGGGGCCTCCCTTCCCCTGGCCGCAGATGACCGCCGCTTCCTGGCACGTCTTCACGTGGCCTGTCCCAGCGTGCCTGGTATCGCTTCCTCTTCTCATAGGAGCACCCGTCCTGTTGGATCAAGGCCCTCCCCACGTGACGACCTCATTTAACCTTAATCGCCTCCTTCAGGGCCCATCTCCAAGTACAGTCACCCCTGGGATGAAGGCTTCAGTAGATGAATTTGGGGGACACAATTCAGACCATAGCCTTCTGCTCCTGACCCCCAAATTCATGTCCTTCTCACATGCAAAGCACGCTCACTCCATCCCAATAGCCCCCAAATCTTAGCTTGTTCCAGCATCCACTCCAAAGGCCCCTCGTAAATCGGGCGCGGGGGGTACTCGAGGCAGGTGCGCCCCGAGGGAGAGTCCTCGCCTGCTGAGAACCTGGCAGAGACAAGCTGTGTGCTTCCAGAACACACTGGATGGACAGGCCTTGGGTGGAAAGTCCCTTCCGGAAGGAGGAAGGGCTGACAGGCTCTAAGTGAGTCCAAAACCCAGCCAGGAAACTCCCCGAGACTTAAGCCTCGAGAATCCTCCTCTTTGGTTCAACATTCTGCCTTCTGGGCCCACAGTGCTGGTGTTGTCACCCCCGTGGCCCTTAGGCACCAGGTGGGGGCATCCTGGCCCAAGGAAGGGACCCCAGCCTCTGCAACTGAGGAGGAGACAGCCTTGCCCAGCCCGTGTGGTGGGCGGGCAGCCCTGATGGCCTCTGAGTCACCTGCAGGGTCAGCCTTCCCCTTCCTTGAAGGCCTGTTCGCAGCGGGTGGCTCTGCTGTCCTGTCCTGTAGAAGCCCAGAGGCGACACCTTCCTGTGTCCCCTCCCGCTTTCTCCACCCCCTCTGTCCTGACGGGCAGCGTCTCCAGTCCTGGCCTCTGCTAAGGCGGCTGGTCAACCCCATGTTCACGCCACCGTCTCCTTATGAAGCAAGGGTCCAGCCACCCGCAGTGTTCTCTCCGCAGCACGCATCTCCTGCTTTGCTCAGGATTGACCAAACCTTTCAGTCTCGGTTCCTTTTGCTTAACTGTTCCTTCAGCTTCCCCCTCCTCCCACACTTCACCTTCAGCTGGAGGAGAAGCCGGCAGCTCCCTCAGCACCCTGCTTGGGAGTGTCCTCCCCTAAACAGCCAGGCCCGCCCTCCCCCCCCGACGGGAGACCCTGCCCAGCCAGGCCCGCCCTCCACCAGACGGGAACCCACCCCAGCCGGGCCCGCCCTCCCCTGCTTCCTCACCGCGGGGCCTGTGTTACAGCTGCGCCCACCTGGCGGTGCCGAAGGCTGTCCCAGGCTGCTCGGCTGCCGGCACGCGCACCACACGCGGGCAGCCCGAACGACGGCTTTACCTCTCGCGGTCTGGAGGCCGGAAGTCCAAGGTCAGGGCGCAGGCAGGGCTGGTCCTAGGGAGGCTTCCCTTCCCGGCCTGCGAACGGCCCTCCTTCCCAGCACGCGGAGCGCGGGCCCCGCGTCCCTGCCTCTGTAGGCTCCGGGCCCCATGACCTCGTTTACCCTTAGTCATGTACTTAAAGGCCCCTCTCCAAGTACAGTCATGCCAGGGGTGGGGCTTCAACATACGAAATTTGGGGGACATACTTCAGTCCACAGCTCCCCTGAAAACTTGCATTGCTAAAGAGATGCTGCAGGGAAAATGGTCGTCCCTGCTCCTGCACCCCGAGTCCCGCCCCCGAGTGTGGCTGGCTTCCCTGCGGTCTGGTCAGCATGGCCCTCCCGGGGCTGTGTGAGGGGCACGCATATTGGGACCATAGGAGAAGGGGGGTTTTCTCACCTGCATCCTTACTTGACGGGAGTCCTGCAGCGTCCCCGTGTTGGGTGCGGTGTTTGCATGCGTGTTTACGTGAGGGCACCTCACCTCCTGGCTCACTCGGGTTTTACAAATGCAGCCTCAGTACCGACGCCTTTTGAGATGAGGAACTGCTCTCCTTCTTTGATCTATGAATTCGGTGAATTATTTTAATAGATTTCCTGATAGTAATATGGTTTTCTAAAACATTATTTATAATGGAGGTACTGGGGATTGAACCCAGGACCTCATGCATGTTAAGCAAGCGCTTTACCACTGGGCTACACCCACCCTCCACAATAGTAATGTGTTTTTTGTTTTAATTGAAGTATAGTCAGTTTATCGTGTTGTGTCAGTTTCTGGTGCTCAGCCTAATAGTTCAGTCATACACATATGTATACATATATTCTTATTCCTGTTTTGAACCTCAGCTTGATTGCTGTGTAATAGAAATTTAAGATGATGCTGGATTCCTAGTGTTCTCAGGGTTTTGCATCAGGTTGTTTAAGCCTTTGCTGTCAGTTCTGTTTGGGGGCTGAATTTGTCAGGCCCTGGCACTAGCTTTGTAAAGATACTGGGAAGCCTTTCTGCCTTCTCTGCTCTGGAGCGGTTTATGTGGCTGGGCTTCACTGCTGCTTCCATGCTCGGCAGCCTCCCCACGAGCCCGTCGGGACCCAGTGCCTTTTTGGGTAGTAACCCTGATGACTTTCTCATTTTCTTTCCTGATGAGCCTGGTGTTTAGGTTTTCTGTCTGTTCTAAGATCATAATTGATTTTGGGTTTTTTCCTGCTAGAAAATTATCCACTTCCTGCAGGTTTTCAAACCTGTTGTCCCCAGTGAGCTATGCCTGACCCCTGAGGAAGACGTGGTTGTGGCTTGCTTTCAAGTGTTCACAGTCCTGCTTTTCTTGACCCCAGTGTGTTTAAGATGCCCGGTTGGAAAGCATGCTAAGGTCTTGAGTGGCAGCTCACACTTGACTGTGTCTGTAACTTAAGACAATGAAGCAGTGTTTCTTTCTTTCTTTCTTTTTTTTTTAATAAAAATGAGCTTTCAGGAAATTTCAAAAACCACTTAAAGGAAGTGCAGTTTTGTGTGTGGTGTGGGAAATGTGTTCTGTGCGTCTGGGAATTGTTCCCAGGCTGTCTGAGGACGTGCTTATTTGCTGATGGGCCAGGAAGCCTGGGTTCTGGTGTCACTGTGGGTTGAGTGTCTCTGGGGCCAGGGCCCTGCCGCTCATGTGTGGCCTCGTTGTCTGTCCAGCACTTGCTCTCACCGGCCTTCTCTGCAGGAGACACTATGTGGGCTTCCTTGAGGAGCTCACGGCCGTGAATCCAGGAACAGACGCTGGGTTGCATTTTGCTGTACAGAGAACGGTTCTGATGCCGGTAGATAAGACTAAGAAACGTTAGGCGCCTGCAATGTTGCTGAAGGGGTTAGCTGGGTGTTACACTTGCTGGGTGTTTCTACGTGTCTGCAGAGTGGCGGTTTAAAACCCCAGTGTGCAGGAGAAGGACCTAGGGGTTACTGAGAGAGGTGTTGCTGCAGGGCTGGTCCTCCAAGGACCGTGGGGGCTGAGCTCGGGACCTGCGCCCCAGCAGGCCACCTGGGATTCTGATGCTTGTGGGGTATTAGTGGGGGCTCTGACTGTCTGCTGCTCACCAGGTGCAGGGAGTGAGTCTCCGGTCCCTGTACAAGCGTTCACCAGGCCATGCTGCCTTCACCATGGACCCGGTCCGTGATCTTCTCATTTGGGCCATCATCCAGAACCGTCGGGAGCTGGCAGAAATCATCTGGGCTCAGGTAACCAGACCTGCTTCCCGGCACACATGGCTCTGTGTGGACCAGTGACAGGGCTCCGGCCGGGGAGCCGGGCCAGAGAACCCGATGCCAACAGTGGCCATGGAGGGAGGGCAGTGGGTGTCCGCAGCACCAGAAGGGACTCAGCCTGTCCGGGTCTAAGAGCAGAGAGCTTGGCCCTAGGCGAGAAGAGGGTTTTTGGAAAGGAATGCCACACAATCTCATCCTGCGGTCTGTGCCGGCAAAGGCTCGCGGGGCACCCACACCGGGCAGGCCAGGCCACCTCTGTGCCCCACGCTTTCTGGTGGTGAGCGCACTTGCTGTGGCCGCCCTTGTCAGGAGCCTCTGCAGGCAAACTCCATTTGCAAAGGGGCCGCCTTCTCTTTCCACTGACAGCTGGGGGTCTCAGACACAATCCGCTCCTAATGTGGGCAGTTCCCGGGTGCTGCTGCCCTGAGCCTGCTGGCAGGCCATCAGGGAGCCCCTGCCAGCTGGCCGAGCGGCCCCTCACACCCTGGGCCCACGTGTGGCTTCATCGCCCAGGAGGAGGGACTCGCCAGACGGCTCCTTGAGAAACAGCAGCGCAGGCCCGAGTCCTCCCGTGTGGTTTTCCTTTAGTTCAGGCAGATTCTCCTCTGGACGAGGAAGTAACGTTTTGCAGTTTTCTCTCAGAGGCCCCACTTGCCAGCACTGGTGTTTCCAGACCGCTTGGAGGAGCCGGCCCCGCAGTGCCTCAGCAGAGGCTCTGGTTCTGGGAGGATCGCCGTCTCCCAAGTGCCTGGGGTGGGCGGCAGATCCAGGCCTGACTGTGGCCTCGGGTGTGCCCTGTGGGGCTCAGGCAATGGAAAGGCCAAACTTGGATTTCCAGGCTCTGACACCAGCCCCTCGCCCTGGGCCAGTGCTGTCTCAGACCTGATGCCTCCAGGAGATTTTCTTAGCCCCTCTCTGGTGCCTGGGGCTGGCGGTGCCACCAAAGCTGGACAGGGACTTGCGAGGGCCTGACACCTTCAGGGCACGCCATGCCCTGGTTGACTAGGTGCCCGGGGAGCTCTGAGCCTGGTGCTGGCAGGGCTGTCAGTGCCTGCATCTGGTCTGTGTTCCAGGTGGGCAAGTGGGCCTCCTGGCAAGCTGACCACTCCCACTGGCCGGTGTAGGCAACTGAGTCACTGGAAAGGGCTTACGTGTTGGCCTAGGGTAAACCAATGGCTGCCTTAGGCAAGACCTGCCTCAGGGCATGGCCCCGCAGCCTGTGCCATCTCGGAGTCTCTGTTCTTGTCACCCCGGGCAGAGGGCCTGGGGTTCCCCGGGCCAGACCATCCAGGTCTCACGGTGGCTCTCCCCGGGGCCCAGAGCCAGGACTGCATCGTGGCAGCCTTGGCCTGCAGCAAGATCCTGAAGGAGCTGTCCAAGGAGGAGGAGGACACGGACAGCCTGGAGGAGATGCTGGCGCTCGCTGATGAGTACGAGCAGAGAGCCATCGGTGAGTGCCTCGGGGCCCCGGCCTCGGGCCACACTCAGCTCCGCCGGTGTCACCTGGGGGTCCTTGCCCCAGGCCTCAGCCCTGCTTCCTGTCCAGGCTGTTCTGGCTGGAGGGGCTGCGCTCCAACCCTTTCCCCAGCTGTCACTGATTGGGACCGGATGCCTTCCCATCCAGGGGTCTTCACCGAGTGCTACCGGAAGGATGAGGAGAGAGCCCAGAAGCTGCTGGTCCGCGTGTCGGAGGCCTGGGGGAAGGCCACTTGCCTGCAGCTGGCGCTGGAGGCCAAGGACATGAAGTTCGTGTCTCACGGGGGCGTCCAGGTGACTTCCTGGGGGCCTGCTTCCAGAATCACCTGCCGCGGTGCTGCGGGGCGGGGGGCGTGGCACCTGTGGACACGTGCTTTGGGTGCAGGCCCCCAGGTGTCCTCAAGGCCCAGCCTCACGTCCCACCGCTACCCCCCTTACACCGCCTGGGGCCTCTGGAGGGATCCGTGGGAGGGGCGGGGCATCCTCCTGGGGCGCCGTGTCCAGGCTGCTCTGGTCCTGGGATGCTGGCACATCCTTGGAGTGTGGCCTCCTGCTGCCACTACGTCCACAGAGCCCCGTCGTGGGTGAGCTGTGCTGGATCCCGGGGACGTGGTGGCAGGGAGCCCTGTCCTCCCCCAACCCGGCAGAGCTCAGAGGGGCAGCTGGTGGCAGTGGAAGGCGGAAGCCGGGGTCTGATCCCTGCGCCTTCCCCCCGGGAGAGCCCACCTGGCAGATGACAGGGCTCGCATGGGGCCGCCCTCCTCGCCCTGTGCCAGGGCTCAGAGCGCGAGCTGGAGTGTGCAGTCACTCTTCCTGGGGGGCGGGGTTGCTCAGCGAGCGCGGGGTCAGGGTGGGGGTGCCCACCGTCCTGAAGCCGGCGTCCTCTGTCTGCAGGCCTTGCTGACCAAGGTGTGGTGGGGCCAGCTCTGCGAGGACAACGGGCTCTGGCGGGTGGTCCTGTGCATGCTGGCCTTCCCACTGCTCTGCACCGGCCTCGTCTCCTTCAGGTGTGCGCCTGGCTGCCAGGCCGCGGGCTTGGGGGGCCAGGGGCTGGGACCTGCCTTCCCAAGTGCCCTTGCTGGGAGCGAGTCTTGTGTGTCCTCACTGCTGCCACCCATCCCAGAATGGAGTGGGTTCATGCTGGGAGGGAGGGGCCTCCTGTGCTGACACCTGCTGTCCCCAGGTACAGGGGGAGTGCATCGCCCACCCTGCCTCCCCATCCCCCGGGGCCTGAGTATTTTGTTACATGCCTGAAAGAACCAAAGGGCCCTTTAGAATTTTGTTTTTTAGTTTTGGGGGGAGAGGCCAATAGGTTTATTTATTTATTTCTAACGGAGGTTTTGGGGACGGAACCCAGGGCCGCATGCGAGCTAGGCCGCTGCCGCTGAGCTAGGCCCTCCCCCTCCGTTGCCCGTTTTTTTTTTTCATTCTATTATCTTTTGTTTGTTTAAATCCGTTTGGACATTTATTCTTTTTTTCAATTGAAGAGTAGCCAGCAGAGAGCCCTTTGGGGCACCCTTCACAGGCCACCTGGTCCCGCCCTCTGCTGCTCTGGGTGTGCGGGCTCGGCCGCCGCACACGCGTCCTGGTCCTCCCTTCTCTGCGGCGTGATGTGCCTCCTGAGCCTGGGTGGCTGCGTCTGGCTTCCGTCGGGCCCCTCACGCCCCACGGTCCCCCGTGTCTGCCCCCAGGGAGAGGCGGCTGCAGGACGTGTGGGGCCTGCCCCGCATCCGCGCCTTCTTCAGCGCGCCCGTGGTCGTCTTCCACCTGAACATCCTCTCCTACTTCGCCTTCCTCTGCCTCTTTGCCTACGTGCTCATGGTGGACTTCCAGCCGGCGCCCTCGGGCTGCGAGTGCCTCGTCTACGTCTGGCTCTTCTCCCTGGTGTGCGAGGAGCTGCGCCAGGTGTGCTCCCCTGGACCCCCAGCCCCACCCGGGGAACGCCTGCCCTTGGCCAAGCGCCGTGCCCAGCGAGGCTCACACGGCTGCTGAGAGGCAGGCGAGGACCCTCGGGGAGGGTGGCCTGCGGCCCGCCGGCCGCACCCCACCCTGGCTCCTCAATCCACCCGAACCCCCAGGCATCACTTTTCCTTGAAACCCGCTCTGATCACCCCGAGGGGAAGGCCCCCCGGGCCTGGACTTGGGGGTGTGAGGCCCCTCGGACCGCTGTGAAGGGCAGTGCGGAGGGCGGCGACTCTAGAGTGGTCCCCGGGGTGTGATAACTCTCCAGAAGGACCCGCCCATGCTCTGAGCTGGCAGCTCGTGGTTGCCGGTTACCACGTCATTGCCACCTCCCCTCAGCGGGCAGGGTCGCGTACGTGTGGCCCACCTGTCTCGGGCCCCCATGACGTCAAGCTGACCCTGTGTGGCCAAGGCCTCCCTGCCCCCCACCCACTGTTAGATTCCTGGTGAGCAAAGGGCCCCATCCAGGGCTTGGAGGCTTCCTCTGGGGCCTGGGGCAGAGGACCAGCCTGCTCCCTGGGCAAGGCTGACCCTCACGTCACAAGGGTGTCCCCACTTTGTCCCCAGTGTGCCAGCACCTGGTGGCAGCTGACGAACGTGACTCTCGGGACTGGGGTGTGGAGGGGCCAGCCCACTAGGGACGCCCACCTTAGACTCACCCCTGCTCTCCGCACTAGGCAGCCAAGGGCCCCGGACATACAGCTGGCTGGGCTCAGGCTCGGAAGCACCGCCACCTACTGGGGGCCCTGGGCTGTCAGAGCCCCAGCAAGGAGGCGCGGGGCTGAGGCGGGCCAGGCCTGGAGCCCTGCTGGCTCTGCTGGCCCTTCCTCGTGCCCCACAGCCCCCTGCAGCCAGACCCTCTCAGGAGGGGTCCAGAGCCCCTGTTCCCTGAGCCCTGGCCTCATTGGTGCAAGCCCCAAACAGAGGGCCAGCCTTTCTCCCTGAGTCTGCCCGGTGGTCCCGGGGAGGGGCTCCGATTGTTCCCAGGGGGCTGCCTGCCCCCCTTCCCAGCTGCCAAGGTCAGGGGCCAGGACCCAAGGAGGATGTGGGACTCTTGCCGCGCAGGCCAAGCAGGGCCGAGGTCCCCTTCGTGGCCTCACCCTCCTCTTGGGGCTGCTGCAGGAGGCAGGGAGCAGAGACCCTGGGGGTGGCGGCTGGCCCCTGACAGCGGGAGAGGCTCCCCACGCACGTCCCTGAGTGCTGCGGTCCAAGAGGGCTGGCCGAGCCTGGCCGCACACCCTGCCCGTGGCACCTCTCCCGCCCTTTCTGCCCTGGGGGCGGGACGCGGAAATCGGCCTCCTCCCCAGCTCGCCAGGCTCTCCAGGAGGCAAGGAGTAGTTTGCTGGGGTGGGGGTCAGAGGGTGACACACAGGCTCCGACGCATCTTCCCCAGCTCCTCTACGACCCCGACGAGTGTGGGCTGATGAAGATGGCCGCGTTGTACTTCAGCGACTTCTGGAATAAGCTGGACATTGGTGCCATCCTGCTCTTCATCGCAGGGCTGACCTGCAGGTGAGTGGCCCCACGCGGGGCGCCCCCCACCCCGTCCCGGCCAGGCAGCAGCACCCGCGGGGTGGGCCCCAGAGGAGGCTGGAAGCCGGGCCCCCAGCTGGGCTTAGCTCCTCTCTGGACGCACCTGTCCCGAGGGTGCCCGGCCCACCCTGGGCACCGGAGACCGTAGAGGACGCAAGAGGGAGACTCAGACTCTGTCACGTGGGTAGCTGCCTGGTGCCTGGGCCCACGTCCCAGCCTGGGAGCTCCCTCTGGCTGTGGCCCTGGGAACCTCTCTACTGCCCATCAAAGCGAGAGGGGCCTGGCCCAGCCTTCTGGTTCCGAGGGTGCCCCCGAGGTGGGGCTTCCGGACCCTTCTGGAGAATGCCTCGCTGCAGGCTATCTCCCAGACTCACACCCAGGTTTCAGTACTTCGGGGTCCAGGGGCCGCACATGGGCTGTGGCAGGGAGTGGGAAGCTGGGGCCGTGCCCCGGGGGCGGCAAGCTGAGGTCCTTGCTTCCACCCGGCACCAGGCTTGTCCCGGGGCTGCTGTACCCCGGGCGCATCATCCTCTCCCTGGACTTCATCATGTTCTGCCTGCGGCTGATGCACATCTTCACCATCAGTAAGACGCTGGGGCCCAAGATCATCATCGTGAAGCGGATGGTAAGTGAAGGAGGGGGGCTCCCAATGCCAGCTGCAAGTGAGGCACCCCCCATAGGTTCCCAGGGCCCTGCTTTGCCCCTTGGGATTCCACCCCCTGGCACGCCTGTCTTGGGTCTTTGCCTGGATGTTGCCCCTTGCAGGCAGCCTTCCCTGATCTCCACAGCTCATTCCTGCTTCCTATCACTCCCCTCCTTGGGTCATGGTCACGTTCGACCCCTCCTACACTCAGGCAGGGTGCCCAGCGCCCCGCTAGGGTGTGGGGGCAGCCCAGGGCTGTCTCCCTGCTGCTCCCGGCTCCGTGCGTCCATGCCGTGGTGGGTGTGGACGGAGTCTCCCCTGCGGCTGGGCGCACAGCCCACCTGCGGGCAGGGAGAGCGTCTGAGGTGCACTTGGCTGCAGCCGGTGCCGCCTGCCCTGTCTCCACAGATGAAGGATGTCTTCTTTTTCCTGTTCCTGTTGGCTGTGTGGGTCGTGTCCTTCGGGTGGCAGCAGGCCATCCTCATCCACAACGAGAGCCGGGTGGAGTGGATCTTCGGGTGTCGTGTACCACTCCTACCTCA